GTGTTCCGTCTCTCGCTCTCTCTCTCTCTGTGTCAAATAAAATCTTAAAAATAAATAAACTGTTTACCATGTATATGTATTCCCCATTCAAAAAAATTAATAAATCTATAATATAAATTACTTTCAAACCAGGGGAATTAAGTCAAGAACTGTATTTTAAATGATGAGATTTTCTATCACAGTCCTCTTACCATTTTGTTCCCAGAATGCCAGCAGGCAGCCATATTAGCCCCCTTGGCAGAAGACTGATTCTTTTACTAAATCAGTCATTGATGTTTGTTAGCTCACCAACAAAAAGGCCAGTCCAACCCCTAATCACCAGATTATAGAGTAAGGCAAGAAATAAAATTTAACTGTGCACACGCAAATCTTCCAGTATTTTACTGTCTCATTTAAAAATCTGAGAGCCTAGGGGCTCCTGGGTGGTACAGTCGGTTAAGCATCTGACTCTTGGTTTCAGCTCAGGATGTGATCTAAGGGTCCCAAGATCAAGCCCCACGTCAGACTCTGTGTTCAGTGTTGAGTCTGCTTGAGAGTCTCTCTCCCTTTCCCTCTCCTGCTTCTGCTCGTTTTCTCTCTAAAATAAATAAATCTTTTAAAAAATAAATAACAATAAAAAGAAATAAAAATAAAAACCTGACAGCTGAAGTTCCCTAGACACTTGAGGAAGGCCATGTACATGAAAATAAGCAGCCAAATAAACAGAATAAAGAATCTGGAGAAAACACCACATAGATCAAAGGAAACTTTAAAAATCGATAATTAAAATCCTTATGTGGATTAAAGAAGATATTAAATTCAGAAACAAAACAAGATGCTAAGAAACAATCAGAAAAAAGGACACTTTATAAATGAAAATACGGTCAAATTTAGAAAAATTCATTACAAGGATTTGGACAGTAAATTTAAGGAAGTCTTCTAAGAAAGTGTGTCAAAATGACAAAAAAATAAAAATAGAAGAAGCCCAGAAGACCAATCCAGAAAGGGACAGGAGTTACAGAAAGAAAGCATGGAGAAATAATAGAAGAAAATATGCATATCAAGGACAGATTACCAGATTAAAAGGGAACACTTAGTATCCCACCATAATGAATGAACAAAGAGCAGTCTAAACTACTTTCAAATTTCAGAACACCAAAGACAAACACAAGATCCCAGCTTTTAGAAAGGAAAAAACCTTTCATATACAAAAAAATGTAAATATGCATTGAGCTTTTTTTTATTGTTGGTTTTTGTTTGTTTTTTAGTAGGCTCCACACCCAGCATAGAGCCCAATGTGGGGCTTTGAACTCACAACCCTGAGATCAAGGCCTGAACTGAGATCAAGAGTCAGACACTTAACCAACTGAACCACCCAGGCACCCCAAGCTTTTTTTCTTTTTTAAAGATTTTATTTTATTTTTTCTACTCCAAACTGATGTAAAAAAATTTTTATGTAAATTTTAGTTAGTTAACATACAATGCAATATTGGTTTCAGGAGTAGAATTCAGTGATTCATCACTTGCATACAACACCCAGTGCTCATCACAAGTGTCCTCTTTAATAGTCATCACCCATCTAGCCTATCCCCCACCCACCTCCCTCCATCCAACCCTCAGTTTGTACTGTATGGTTAAGAGTCTCTTGTGGTTTGTTTCTCTCTCTCCTTCCCCCACCACATTTGTTCATCTGTTTTTTGAAAAAAATTTTATCTTATTTATTTTTTAAATTTTTTTTGTTTAAAGATTTTATTTATTTTTTAGTTTTTATTTATTTATTCGAAAGAGAGAGCAAGAGAGCCCAAGCAGAGGAAGCAGCAGAAGGAGAGGGAGAAGCAGGCTCCCTGCCAAGCAGGGAGCTCAATGCAGGTCTCGATCCCAGGACTCCGGGACCATGACCCAAGCAGAAGGCAGACACTTAAACCATCTGAGCCACCCAGGTGCCCCTAAAGATTTTATTTTTTTAAAGATTTTTTTTTATTTATTTATTTGAGACAGAGAGCATGAGAGGGAGGAGGGTCAGAGGGAGAAGCAGACTCCCTGCCGAGCAGGGAGCCCGATGCGGGACTCGATCCCGGGACTCCAGAATCATGACCTGAGCCGAAGGCAGTCGCTTAACCAACTGAGCCACCCAGGCGCCCCTAAAGATTTTATTTTTAAGCAATCTCTATACCCAATATAGGGCTCAAACTCACAACCCCAAGATCAAGAATCGCATGCTCTGACTGAGCCAGCCAGGTGGCCCAAATATACACTGAGCTTTTTAATAGCAAAACTGGAAGCTAAAAGGTAATGGAACAAGACCGTCAAAATTCTCAGAAAAAAAAATTTTAACTAAAATTTTATTCTCAGACAAATTAAGTGTCAAGTAAGGGGAGACATTTTGAGATATGCTTAAACACAAAAAAACCGCCTTCCTTGCTTCTTTTCTTAGGAAGCTACTGGGAAGATATGCTCCAGCAAAATGAGGCAATAAGAAAGAACAAGACTGAAGTCTCAAGAAACATGAGATGATGTAACACAGCACAGTAGTAAAAGGAAGGCTCAAAATAACATCTGTGCAGAGGTCCTAGAGAGCAATTGTCCTGATTATAGCAGATTGCCTGCGGGGGGTGGGGGGGGGATTGAGGAAGTTGATGTCTCTGGGAGGGAAGTATCAAAGAAAAAGCAGAATTTACAGATTACTTGACTATTGAGAAAATGGCAGGTTTTTTCCCTTTGTTTTTTTTTAAGATTTTATTTATTTATCTGACAGAGAGAGACATAGCGAGAGAGGGAACACAAGCAGGGAGAGTGGGAGAGGGAGAAGCAGGCTTCCCGCCGAGCAGGGAGTCCCATGCTGGGCTTGATCCCAGGACCCTGGGATCATGACCTGAGCCGAAGGCAGATGCCTAACGACTGAGCCACCCAGGTGCCCCGACAGTTTTTTTCCCCTAATGAAAAAGCTGAACAAGTCCATAAGTAAAATAAGCAAATTAAAAATAAAGCAAATATTAACCAAAGGCAAAGAAAAGAGGTCTATGAAAGGAAACAAACATAGCACACTACTTGGATCTGTAGTGAACAATATTTAATCGTAATATATAACAATATAATCACAATAATATAAATACTATCAGTCAAAACTGATAGCATAATTACATTAGAAGGATAGAGAGAAGGGTGCCTGGGTGGCTCGGATGGTTGGGAGTCTGACTGTGGCTCAGGTCACAATCTCTAGGTCCTGGGATCAAGCCTCATGTCGGGCTCCCAGCTCAGCGGGAAGTCTGCTTCTCTCTCTCCTTCTGCCTTTTCCCTTGATTATGCTCTGTCTCTCTCTCAAATGAATAAATAAAATCTTAAAAAAAAAAAAAAGGATAGAGAGAATGAAAGTAGGGGATTAAAGAGAGCTACTATAAAAAATTAATAATGTCTAATACTGATAATTTAGGGAGTACAAATATAAGCATATTACTTAGAAATATGTAAGTACATATCAAAAGTGAAACTGAAGTGGTTAAGTCTATAAAGAGATAACTGTTTTTCATATGAACTTTTAAATTCTATTTGATTTTTGCAAAAGTTATGTGCATGTATTATTTTGATTAAAAAATTAATTCATGGGGCGCCTGGGTGGCTCAGTTGGTTAAGCGTCTGACTCTTGATTCCGGCTCAGGTCATGATCTCAGGGTCGTGAGATCAAGCCCCACGTGGGGCTCTGCACTGGGCATGGAGCCTGCTTAAGATTCTTTCTTCCTCTCCCGGTGCCCCTCCCCCTCTGTAAAAAAATTAATCCATAACTCCTTTAAATAAAAAATATATATATAACATTGTATAATATAAATTTAAAAACTTAAAGTCAGGACTAGGAAAAATAAAAATTACAACAGAAGGACCAGGAGAAAAACACATTTATGTAGGTTATAAAGTACTACACTAAGATGGTATAAATGAGCCCAGAATTTGACTGAGCTTCATGAAGATCAAGATGAAAGGAGAAAAATAATTTTTTATGCAGTCTTCCTTTTCCATGAAGAGAAAACACAACCATTTCCTAGAATAAGCAAAACATCTCCATTCTGCTCTAAAATTAATTTTTCACATGGAGTCTGATACTGTTATTATCGTCTATAACCAGTACACACCTAAAACCACACCACTGACACGGCATTTCCCGGTGTGCTCAGGCTCTGGTTCTGTAAGAATAAGGTCTTCTGCAGCTCCCTCCTGAACAGTAAGCAGCGGTGTATTTAGGATTTCTTTCTGTCAAAGAGAACACAGGTTGAAACCTAACAGTTAAATAAATAATCACTACAGTCTCTCCTGTTTTCCCGCCCCATCCTTACCTGCATGTTCTGCTTATAGAGCTTCCTATCAATTTGAGCTCTCAGACCCCAAACAGCCGGTCCCTTACGCCGGTTTAATACTTTGTAATGTACACCAGATTGGTCACAGATTCGAGAACACAGGCCATCCAAGGCATCAACTTCCCTCATTAAATGCCCCTTGCCAATGCCACCAAAGGAAGGATTACAGGACATCTGACCTAAGGAGAACAGACATAAAATAAATATATGAGCACCCCGTACGTAGTGAGTGTTTAATAGGGAAATGTCTGTACAAGTGATTAGAATCATCTCATGTAATAAAATTGAAGAATCACCGGAGAGAAAATTAGAAAATCCCAATGGGATGTAAGAGTCATTCAGGGCATCTTGGGAGACAAACCATTGACTGTAGTTTCTTTTGAATCTTTTCCTTGACACATATTTTTACTGGTTCATTAGGTTGCCTTTTCCTTTAAAACCCTTCCCCAAATCAAGCATACTTTTAAGAAGTCCCTTGGCTCTGATTCACTGTTATCATCAATTGTCTTCCATAAATGTCATCTGCTGTTTTCTTTTTGCTTATTTTGTAAAAATAATTAAATTATAAGCTTCCTGAGAGTAGAAACCGTATTTTATACCTTCTCTTTAAATTCCCCTAGTCTTATTTGGAGGTCTAAACTCATGTGGTTGAGCGCCTAGGTGGCTCAGTCGGTTAAGCGACTGCCTTCGGCTCAGGTCATGATCCTGGAGTCCCGGGATCGAGTCCCGCATCGGGCTCCCTGCTCGGCAGGGAGTCTGCTTTGCCCTCTGACCCTATCCCCTCTCATGTGTTCTCATCTCATTCTCTCTCTCTCAAATAAATAAATAAATAAAAAATCTTTAAAAAAAAATAATAAAAGCTTACATTTGTTGAATCATTTCTAGTTACTAAATGGCCAGCTGTTCTGATAATGCTTCATATTTATTGTCCTATATTAATTTTCACAATTCCCCTATGAGTTTGTCATTGTTTGAACAAACAATCAGTAATCCTATTAACATAAAGATGTGTTCGTGAGGGGCACCTGGGTGGCTCAGTCGTTAAGCATCTGCCTTTGGCTCAGGTCATGATCCCAGGGTCCTGGGATCGAGTCCCGCATCGGGCTCCCTGCTCGGCGGGAAGCCTGCTTCTCCCTCTCCCACTCCCCCTGCTTGTGTTCCCTCTCTCGCTGTGTCTCTCTCTGTCAAATAAATAAATAAAATCTTTAATAAAAATAAATAAATAAATAAACTCATGTGGTTATCTCAAAGGTTTTTATGGGAGGTGGAGGGATAGGAAAGCTATGTCAACATCTGTAGGTCCACCATAGCCACCACCAAGCCCTCTGTAAGTTTTTATAGTCTCCATAAGGAGGCTGAATCGTGCTGTGATTAGAAGTATGGGTCAGGAATGAGTGAAAAGAACCTGGCTCAATTCCTAGATCTACCACTTACAAGCTCTGTCATTTTGTCAAGTTATCTAATTTTCTCTACCTCAGTTTCGCTACTGTAAAAACAAGAATGATAGCTGCAGATTATTTCCCCCCTTCCTCTGATACAGAATCACAATTTTATTTAGGCAAACACTCCCCTAGGAGGCTTTGTGTTCTGGGAATGTGACTTGAACTCAGTAGGAATAAATCTTTATTGATCTAAGTAATCATGGTAATCCTGTTTCTACTTGCCACTGTCTGGGTTAGGGATGGGAAATAAGTCATGAGGGGTGACCTATTGGGGAGGGGGTCTCTAAAAATGGGTTGTTTTTCCTCTTCAAAGAGATACAAGGAGGGAAAAAAACCCTTCTTAGGTTGAAGTTGTCATATCTGGATGTGACACCTGGAACTATTATAGCCATTTTGTAATCGTAAGGATAGCTAGCTTGAAGACAATTCAAGAATGGCATAATGGAGATATTCAAGGAAGGAGTCCTTAGACATTGTGGGCTGCTGAATTAACCAACCCTAAAACTGACCTACCTGCAAATTTCTTATTAAAAAATAAATTCTTGGGTCAGCGGGGTGGGCTCAATTGGTTAAGGGTCTGACTCTTGATGTGGCTCAGGTCATGATCTCAGGGTCGTTGAGACTGAGCCCCATATCAGGCTCTGTGCTCAGCAGGGAGTCTGCTTGAGAGTCTCTCTCCCTCTGTCCCTCCCCCCACTCACTTTCTTTCTCTCTCTCTCAAACAAATAAATAAGTTTAAAAAAAATAAATTCTCGGGTGCCTGGGTGGCTCAGTTGGTTAAGCGACTGCCTTCAGCTCAGGTCATGATCCTGGAGTCCCAGGATCGAGTCCCGCATCGGGCTCCCTG